GAAAATATAGCCATTTTGACATGTCTCAACATAGAGTGAAAAGTACCCAGTGGAATACTCAATGTCCCTTTACTGATCCATCAAAAAGCCTTTCGACTGTGCTCACTGTATGCCACTGACTGTTAGGAAGTAGAAGACACAAAGATAAAGGTGGGCAGCCCTGGAGCTCAAGGCCCTTACATTTGCATGTCAGGTGACATAAAGTGTTTGCAGGAGATTGAGCAGATAAACATCAGCTTCTGTCATTTTGGAAGAGGAGGCTGGGAACTGGCAAGGTTGGGGCAAGGTTTCATGAAGCAGATGACCCCGAGCTAGCTTTGGAGGGAAACAAGGCGAGGTGAAAGGGCAAGGGCAAAGTCATGGAGGTGGGAGATGAAGAGTCGTGTGGGACTTTTCTGGAGGGCGTGTGGAAGAGAGTGAGGATTATGTAAGATGACTGCAAAGGGAAGACAGGCCCAGGTTGTGAAGAGTTTATTATTCAAAACTGATCATGTCTTTTGGGTGCGGATCTGAAGTGTTCCTGGAAGGTCCAGTTAAACAAGTATTTATTAAATGCCTGTTATGCACAAGCAGCGTCTGTGCAAGGTGCTGGGGGTAAAAAGACAAAAACCAAACAGTCTCTGTCCCGAAAAGCTTACATTTTACTGATCAGGACAGGAAGATGTTCTAAAAAGTCCACTTGGTTGTAAGAAAAACCAGAGTTCCAAAATGTTATAAAGAATGGTTTGGGCCCAGAGAGCTAAGGTAGTCAGGGTTGTCTCAGAGATTCACCTTTGTTCTGGAAGCCTCCTGAACTTATTCTCGATAGTAGCGAGGCTGAGGAAGGGAGGTGGAAGCTAAATGTACCCAAGGCAGACTTCTACAAAGGAGCGGTAAACTCCCAAGACTAATTTTCACATTAATACCATTCAGGAATAATTGGGGGGGGGGAGCTTTCTGATCACTTGATAAGCCTAATAGCCATTAATGGCACATAATAAATGTGGAGAGGCAACTTGGCATATTAGAAAGATAGCCAGCCTCTGATTCAGGAAGACCTGAGTTCAAGTTTTTCATTTAACATAAGGGAAGGGAATAATAATTTTTAAATGTTCTTTATTTATTTATTTATTTTAACTTTTTGTTTTAAATTTTGAGTTCCAAATTCTCTCCCTCTCTCCAGACCACTCCCCTCCACTTATTGAGAAGGCAAGCAGTGTGACAACAGTTATACACATGAAATCATGCAAAATTTATTTCCATATTAGCCATATTGAAAGTAAAAGCAGGAAAAATAAAGTGAAAAAAATTATACTTCAGTTTGCAGCCAGAGTTCATCAGTCTCTCTGTATCGCTGAAATTGGATTGCACTTTTCATCATGAGTCTTTCAGAACTGTCATAGATCATTATATTCATCAGAGTAGCTAAGTCTTTCACAGTTGATTATCTTTACAATGTTGCCATTAATGTGTACAATAATCTCCTGGTTCTGCTCACTTCACTGTACATCATTTCATACAAGTCGTCCCAGCTTTTTCTGAAACTATCCTGCTTGTTCCATCACAGTCATATACCACAACTTATTCAAGCGTTCCCCAATTGACAGCATCCCCTCAATTTCCAGTTCTCTGCCACTACAAAAAGAGGTGCTATAAATATTTTTGTACATATGGTTCCTTTTCTTTTTCCTTTGATCTCTTTGGGAGATAGGCCTAGTTGTGGTATTGCTGGGTCAAAGGATATGCACAGTTTTATAGCCCTTTGGGTATAGTTCCAAAGTGTTCTCTGGAATGGTTGGACCAGTTCACAACTCCATCAGCAATGTATTAGTGTCCCTATTTTTTTACATCCCCTCCAGCATTTGTCATTTTCCTTTTCTGTCATGTTAGCCAATCTGATAGGTGTGAAGGGATACCTCAGAGTTGTTTTAATGTGCATTTCTCTAATCATTACCGATTTAGAGCATTTTTTCGTGTGAATATAGAAAGCTTTGGGTTTTTTTCTGAAAACTATTCATAACCTTTGACCATTTATCAATTGGGGAATGACTTGTATTCTTATGAATTTGACTTGATTCTCTGTATATTTAGGAAATGAAGCATTTATGAGAGAAAGTTGCTGTAGATTTTTTCCCAGTGTTCTGCTTTCCTTCTAGTTTTGGCTGCATTGGTTTTATTTGTGCAAAAACTTTTGTATTTAATGCAGTAAAAATTTTCCACTATTCCTGTGATCTTCTCTATCTCTTGTTTGGTCATAAACTCTTCCCTTATTCATAGATCTGACAGGTAAAACTTTTCATGCTCCCCTAATTTGCTTATGCTGTCACCCTTTATGTCTAAATCATGTACCCAATTTGATCTTAATCTTGGTATATGGTATGAGATATTTGTTTATACCTACTTTCTGCCAAGCTGCTTTCGAGCTTTCCCAGCAATTTTTGTTGAATAGTGAGATCTTGTCCCAAAAGCTTGGGTCTTTGGGTTTATCAAACACTAGATTACTATGGTCATTTCCTACTGTGTATGGTGTGCCTAATTCATTGCACTGATCTACTGCTCTCTTTCTTTGCCAGTACCAGATTGTTCTGATCGTTACTGTTTTGTAACATAGTTTGAGATCCAGTCCTACTAGACCGCCTTCCATTGATTCCATTGATATTCTTGACCTTTTGCTCTTCCGGGTGAATTTTGTTATGATTTTTTTCCTAAATTTATAAAATGATTCTGTGGTAATTTTGATTGCCGTGACACTGATTGAGTTAATTTAGGTAGAATTGTCATTTTTATAATATTATCTTGGCCTGCCCACGAGCAATTAATATTTCTCCAGTTCTTCAGATCTGTTTTTATTTATGTAAAACTGTTTTGTAATTGTGTTCGTATAATCACTGGATGTGTCTTGGAAGGTAGATTCCCAAGTATTTTATCTTGTGTGCCATTATTTTAAAGGGAATTTCCCTGTGTCTTGCTGCTGTGTTTTGTTGGTAATATACAGAAATGCTAATGATTGATCTGAGTTCATTTTCTATCCTGAAACTTTGCTAAAGTTCTTAATTGTTGTAGGTAGTTTTTTAGTTGATTCTCTGAGTTCTTTAAGTACACCATCATATCATCTGCAAAGAGTAATAGTTTTGTTTCCTCATTGCCTATTCTTATCACTTCAATTAGCTTTTCTTGTCTTAGTGTTGCAACTAGCATTTCTAGGACAGTATTGGATAATAGTGGTGATAATGGACATCCATGTTTCACCCCTGATCTTCTTGAGAAGGTTTCAGGTTTATCCCCATTATACATAATGCTTGCTCTTGGTTTTACTTACATACCACTTATTATTTTAAGAAAAGCTTCATTTATTCCTGTGCTTTCTAGTGTTTTCATAGGAATGGGTTTTACATTTTGTCAGAAGCTTTTTCTGCATGTGATTATATACTCATATGATTTTTGTTGTTTTTCTTATTGATAAGAGTCCGTTTTCCTAATATTGAACCAGGCCTGCACTTGTATGAATCCCACCTGCTCAGAGTGTATGGTCTTTGTAATATATTGCTGTAGTCTCCCTGTTAGTACTGTGTTTACAATTTTTGCATCAATATTCATTAGGGAAATTGGCCTTTAGTTATTTTTCTCTATTTTTGCTCTCTGTGATTTAGGAATCCAAACCATATTTGTGTCATAGAAGGAACTTGGTAGGACTCCTTCTTTACCTATTTTCCCATTAGTTTATGTGGTATTGGAATGCATTGTTCTTTAGATATTTGATAGAAATCACTTGTAAATCCATCTGGTCCCTGGGATTTTTTCTTAGGGAGCTCCTTTATGGATTGTTTAATTTCTTTCAATCCGTTCTGCTATCTGCTTCCATTTTTTCCATCCCACTCACAGTTATTATTACTGTGAATTTTCCTCCATCCCATTTTCTTCTGTTTATCCTTCCTTCTCTTTTTTGTTTTGTTTTTTTCATTTTTTTGTTTGTTTGTTTTGTGGGGGGGTTTTTGGCTAGGCAATTAGGGTTAAGTGACTTGACCAGAGTCACACAGCTAGTAAGTGTCTGAGCCAGATTTGAACTTGTGTCTTCCTGACATCAGGCCCACCAGGCTATGCGTTGCACTGTCTAGACAGCCCCAAGTTGCAGACTGGCTGTGTGACCCTGCACACTTAATTGCCCACTGTCCCAGAAAACTCTCTCAGACCGTCAGCTGCAGAGCTGCTGCTGCACGCTACATTGGTGGATTGAGTTTCTTCGCTGAGATTTTCTCATATCCCAGAGATTCTTTCCCTCCCTCCCTCCTTCTCCCCACCTCCAAATAATAATTCGTTTGTGCCACTTTGTAACAGAATTTTATAGGTGGTTGAGGGAAAGGAGGGAGAGAAGTGCAATAGAAATTGGATCACCCATCCGAATGTGTGCAAGTCCTGGCCAGGCCCCTCGGTTTTCAGGGGGATTTGATAGATGCCACTTAATTAACATGATGAAGATGGAATATTGACTTTGAGGCTTCGTAAAGTCATGTGGGCCTTTGCAAAACAGTATTGATTCTTCCTCAGATTGGAAGGTCGGTGTAGAATCTTTAAAAAAAAAACTTATAGGGTTTTTTTAAGCCATTGTGGTTGCCTTTTTAAAGTGTAAATTCATGAAAAGTGCCCATAACACATTTTCATAAACATTATATTATCTTTGGGGCTGTCGGTTCACTGGTTCAGCTTGATTTATAGCAGTGAAATGGGAAGTTATAGATGTTTGGGCAAGAGAGCCAGGGCAGGGTGAGGAAGAGCCAGGGAGGATGAGAGGGCCTGGAAGTTAGATTCATTTAGAATCGCAATTAATTTGCCCAGTGCAATGCCCGAAAGGCATTTTTGCCAGACAAACTGGTTTTGCTTAGAGAACTCTTGTCCACATTTTACATAGATGTCAAGGATACATACCAATGTGCTAAAATGTTACCTAAATAAATTCAAGAAAATAAACCATTTTGGATATAAATTCCCTTCTAACAACTTTTCTTTTTAATATTCCTAAGCAGATACTTTCAGATGAACCAATTATCTGGCTTCAAGATATTTCAGATGACTGAGATACAACCTTTTTGAACAGGGTAAGGTCACCAGCATTCTTTCCAATTACTCCAGCCTTCTCCTTTGAAAACTTATTATAAAACTGAACTGAAAAGATCATTATGTAGCACAAGTAGGAAAGTCATTGCTTGGGTAGGAAAATATGTCAAATGGAGTTTAATTTCCATGACATTTGAAGTTATTGGAAAATTCAGAAATTATTTTGGGTGAATCTTCATTAATTATGAAATGCAATTTACTCCTGATTTTGCTTTGGCATCTGGCTTTTGACTTGTTAACATTATATCTATTTGACAAATAAAGAAAAAGAAGAAGAATGCATTGCAAATTCACTTAACTGATTTGTTTTGTGAAATTAAATGCCAGAGCAGAGCATTGTGGGCAATTAGGCAAAGAGTTCATAATCACAAGTTTGAAACGAAGTTTTAGCTATCACTCACTGAAGTTAGCAGAATGCTCTTGGAGAAATGGGAGTACATTTTAAAAGAGGGGAAAATAGTATCTTGCATGAACACAAAGTTAATCAAGTAAGTTTGGAGTCACCGAGCATTTATTAAGCACTTACTGTATGCCAGGCAGTATGTGAAATACTAGAGATAGAAATCTAAACAACAAGAAGACAGTCCTTGTCCCAAAGGGGCTTCCAGTCTACTAATTGGGGAAAACACCAAAGAGTGGAGCCGTAGGTGAGAGGAGTGGAAGAGGCAGAAGCAGTGTTGAAAGCACAATGAAGGATGCTTGGACCTGGGCCCTTCCTCCAAAAAGAGATTCACCAGTGGGAAGAGGGACAATGGAGGCAGAGAAATGTGGCCGTGGGGAGAAGGCCTCGGTGGCTGAGAGATCTTGCTGGGTGAGAAGGCGTCTGAGGTAGGGGCAAGGTCTAGATAGGCAGAAGAAAGCCAAAAAAGGCCTAAGAAAGTGAGTAGATGAAAATGAATTTCGGTTTGAGTATGTGTTATTGTTGTCTATCTGTGCATGTTTGTTTTTCCTAGAAGAAATATTCTTTATCCTCATTTCAGTAAATTAAGGATTCAAGGTCAGAGACTTACAGCTGGGAGAAAATTTTATGGTTGCCTAGCGCAGGATTCAGTTTAGTATACTTGAAACATCTGAGAATTGACATAGCGGATTATATTACAGTGTCTATTTATAGACAGGCACAGGAGGGGAAGTTGAGGAAAGAACCAACCTTTTCTTGGTGCTTCTCTTGGCCTCTCTCCTGCTATGAGATAACCACAGAGCCACTGACTCTCATCAAGATCTTCCTTCTCTGCCTTTGTTCCTTAGGAGTGTGTAAGAGAGCCATGTTTGCTCCCAAATTTATGCCTTCTTGGCTCACTTCATAATTTACAGATGATCCCTTGATCAGGGTCAGGTTTTCCCAGACTATAGGAACATGATTCTTGGGCAGCATCACTATTGTTTAAAGTGTAAGGCCTATGAGATTGATCAGTTGGGTGCGTAGGTGGCTAGGAGGCACACTGGATAGAAGGTGAGGTTTAGAGTCAGGAAGACCTGATTTCAAATCCTGTCTCAGACAGTTACTAGGTATGCAACCATAGAGAAGTCACTAAACTTCAGTTTCCTTATCTGTAAAGTGGGTATAATAACAACACTTTTTCGACAAGATTATTGTGAGAGTGAAAGATACTAACATATGTATGTGCTTGGCAAGCCTCAAAGTGCTTGTTAGTATCACTATTTTCACATGCTTTAAGTGGGGAAGAGTTGAGTAAATCCATCACCCTACCTTTTCATACAGATGAGGAAAGTGACCTAGAGCTTAAGCAACTTGCCTCCCATTGTACAGTTTCAAGACTGAAAGTCATACTGTTAGACACCGTTACTGTAGATACTGTTTATTTGAGGTTTCTCCCTAGCTTGCTATTGCTGGGATTATAGTCTTTACAAAGATTGAAAAGTAGTGTTGCAGTAATTCAGGCTAAAACAAAACAAAACCAAAAATTCCTACAATTAAGAGAGAAATATCTTGACTTGTCAAAATTCTACCCATGATTCAAAGCTCCAGTTAAATGCTGTCTCCTTTTTGGAGCCTTCTAGGATTTTCCCAACTGGATGTCATCTCTTCCCCATCCAAACCCCTCCAGCCCTTTCTTTTTGTTCCACTCTGATGGCCCTTCACTTGCCTTGTGCTGTGGTCACATGTCTTCCTTCAATAGCATGAATGATATTTTATCTTTGTCTTTGAATCTCCAACATAGCAGGCATTTTATTAAGAATTATTTATTAAAAAGTATTGATTATATCTCATGTTTAAACTCTAAAAAAAAAGATTATTGAATAGAATTGGATATTTAGCAAATAAGTGCTTTAGCTCTAATGATGCACAGCTCTGTATGAAGCACATATGTTAATTTTAATTGCAGAAATGGTAATACCTTACATTTGGATAGCTCCTTTCACTTTTTCAAAATGCTGCCATACCTATTATCTCATTTTATTCTCACAGCATCCTGAGAGGGCAGCAGAGAACAGATATATTCTCATACCCATTTTACAGATGAGAAAACGGAGGTCTTAAGAATTAAGTGACTTGCCCAAGGACTCACAGTTGGTTAGTGGCTGATGTGTGCCTAGAACACTGGCACACTGACTACTTCTCTGGGACCTTCCTCACTTTTTTTTGAGAGGGGAGCTGTATTTGTGATTCTATTGGTTTAGGGGAGCTCCTTATATGGAAACTCTCTCTTCCAATGGAAATACACAATTTATCTGCAACTGATGGTTTTTTAGAGTTGCCTATGGCACTGAGTAGGGGAAGCTAGGTGGCTCAGTGGATAGAGCATTGGACTTGAAATCAGGAAGATTCATCTTCATGAGTTCAAATTCAGCCTCAGACACTTACTGGCTATGTGACCCGGGGAAAGTCACTTAGTCCTGTTTGCCTCAGTTTCCTCATCTGGAAAATGTGCTGGAGAAGAAAATGACAGAAACCATTCCAGCATCTTTGCCAAGAAAACTCCAAAGGAGTCATGAAGAGTCAGACATGACTGAAATGGCTGAATAACAACAACATGGCACTGAGAGGTTATATGACTCTCCCAAGGTTCTAATATTATGTATGAGAGGCAGAATTTGAACCCTGGTCTTCATAACTCAGAGACCAGCCCTTTCTCTACTCACTGTACCATGCTGTTTCTCAGCTCACATAGATCCCACTTCATTTAGTACAATATTACCAAATCTTTGTGAAAACTAGAGAAAGACAGTTTAGCCTCAGTTATCTAAGGTAAGTAAGTGGGAATGATCCTGATTGGAAACTTACACAACACAGAATCTCATTCAGTCCAACAAATCTAAGTGTCTGCTCTGTGTCAAACATCATACTAGGTCCTGGGCATACAGAGACAAAAAAATGATACAGGCCCTGCCTTCAGAGAGCTTATATTCTCTCAGGGAGCTTATAGCATCTACACAGATAAGGGTAATGAAACGTAGAGTATGCTGGGGGAAGAGAAGAGAGAAAAACAAAAGGTTTATTAAGGAAATTTGAAGGAGAGGACATAGGGGTCAGTCATATCATGGAAGGTTTCCCAGAGAAGTGCAGCATTAAGCTATCCTCTGAACTGAGCCTTGAAGGAAAAGGATTCCCAAAGGCAGAGAGGAAGAGGACGTGCATTTGTGGTATGAAAGATACTGACTTCAGGGAATAACTTACTTGAGTGATCCCAGAGAGCCAGTTTGTTTGCGTTGTTTATGTGGCAGATGCTAAATGCTTGTAGCTAGGTCTCAATTAGTGTGAATAACGAATCTTCTGTCCTGTTCACATATATTTGAAATCACACTATTTGAAGTTATAATTATGCAACATATGGTCATTGGTTCCAGGCCATTGAAAATATTCAGTGTAAACTCGGGCAGCACTACAACTTCAGGGGGATTCATTATTTGCCTTCATCTGGACCTGCTGGTTGTTTCTACTTAGCGACCTCTGCAGTTACTTAGTATCAGTAAGTCCTAAGGTCTTAGAATCAATCTCAAAGGAGCCTGGGCTTCACCTACTAATGAATAATAAATCTATTCGGTTTATCAAAGAAAACAAAAAAGATGTTGATTAAATGTCTGCCAACAAATTTTTTTAAAAAGGAAGAACCTTTACTAAAAGCTCCTTGATTTTTATCCAGTTGCTTGAGAAGCTTTTGTGTCTGGACAAGACAAGGTTGAACAATTACAAAAAAAGCAGCTGTTCTTTGGAAGGGGTCTCTACCTCCATGGTTTGGGTTCACAAAGGCACCGTGTCTTTGATGATGACAAATCCAAAGCCTTGGAAGAATACAGAGGAGATTGACAATGATCTCTTTTCAAAAAAAAAGAAGACTGTTTTCAGAGCAGATTACTAATTGGCCCGGATGACAGGAAAAAGTGGGAGTAGATCGAACATTTTGTGGCCGTGTAGCCATGTGATGTCTTCTGAACAACATCATGAGAGGCAGCCTGGCAGAGTGAATGGAGAGCTGTCCTCAGAGGCAGGATTTCAGTTCTTCTTGACTAACATTTGAGTCCCTTCTATCGGCCAGATACTGTGCCAGGTGCTAGAGAAACAGAGACAAAACGAAAAGAGGACTTGTCCTGCAAGACCCTCCATCCCACTGACATGGATTCCAGTCTTGCTTCTGCTTAGTTATATGACAGTGGCAGCAAATGATTTTACCTCTCAGTGCCCCCCAAAGTCCTACAAGACTATAAATTAGACACATTGTTGATGGAGTTGTGAACTGATCCAACCATTTTGGAGAGCCATTTGGAACTATGCCCAAAGGGCTATAAAACTGTTCATGCCCTTTGACCCTGCAATAGCACTTCTAGGTCTGTATCCCAAAGAGATCATAAAAATGGGAAAAGGACCCACATGTACAAAAATATTTATAGCAGCTCTTTTTGTGGTGGCAAAGAATTGGAACTTGAGGGGATGCCCATCCACTGGGGAATGGCTGAACAAGTTGTGGTATATGAATGTAATGGAATACTATTGTGCTATAAGAAATGATGAGCAGGCCAACTTCAGAAAAACCAGGAAAGACTTGTATGGTCTGATGCTGAGTGAAGGGAGCAGAACCAGGAGAATGTTGTACACAGTAATAGCCACCTTGCTCAATGACTAACTTTGTTAGACTTAGCTCTTCTCAGCAATGCAAGGATCTAAGACATCTCCAAAAGTCTCAAAATGGAAAATGTTATCCACATCCATAGAAAGAACTATGGAGTTTGAATGTAGATCAAAGCACACTATTTTCTCTTTTTTCCTTCGGTTTTGTTTTGTTTCCTCATCCTTGTGGTTTCTACTATTTTTTAAAATTCTTCTTTACAACATGACTAATGTGAAAATATGTTTAATAGGAATGTATATGTAGAGCCTGTATCAGATTGCATGCCATCTTGGGGAGGGAAGGGGAGAAAATTTAAAACTCAAAAGCTTATGGAAGTGATTGTTGAAAACTAAAAATAAATTGATTTTTTAAAAAAAGACTATAAATTAGAAATGAATTACTGATCTGCACTGGTGGGAGTGGGAGAGAACTACCTACTTGGATGAAATCAGAGGACCATATCCCCCCCAAAATACGAAACAGTAATATCATAGAAACAAAGCACCCCTATTTAAAAATAAATTAGAAATTGCCATTATACATAATGTCTTAGCTACTACAGCTTAATGCTGCACTAAGATTTTGGGGATACCCTGTAAGATCGTGAGAGCATAAAAATCTAGTCCCTGACTCATGTCATAGATGAGGCCACTGAGGCCCAACAGGGTTAAGTGATTTCATGGTCAAAAAGTAGGTGATGTGGGATTTCAACTTAGATTCTCTGACTCAAACTCAAAACTCTTTCCCTTTATTGCTTATGCCAATTTCCCAGGCAAATCACTGGTTGAGTGAAGGGTTATGATTGGCTAGACCATAGCCTATATGAGCCTTTGATGATCAAGGTTAGGATGGCTAACTTCTCACACGCATTTTACATCTCTCACCAAGGTCACCAACTTTTGCTGTAAATTGTCCTTGCTTAGTCAAAGTAGTTTTCAGAAGAAACAAACAAACAAAAAACACCTTGCTATAAGCCCTTGTGTCATCCGTGCAAAGTGATGCATCCTTAGCTGGTACAAATCACTTTAAGTAGAGACAGGATAAGCTGGTGTTCATGGTGAATGGCATAAAAAGAAATGACAAGGAGAAGTGGCTTGGGCTCTGGAGAGGTGTAGTAGCTTGAAGAATTAATCCCAGGATGCTGATTCAGTCCCCTTAAGAAGTAGGTTTTAAAGACACATTTAGCCTCATATATTTCTAAGCCTTATGATTCTAGTTGATGCCAGATGAAATGCTTTTAACAAATCCATACAACACAATTAATTACCATAATCATTAAATACCAGCTATTTAGCGCTTGAGTGCACACGGTGTGTGCAAAGTGCCATACAAGTAAATTAAGCAGTTAAGGTCTTAGTTTTTCGAAAACTTGTCTTCTAAAACTAATCAGTAAGATGGAGTCTTTGGAGTATGTGAGATGTTATTTGGGGTATCCTATTAGGAGAAATGTCTCGTTCCATTAAATGCATATTGGGGATAGTGAATTGACGTTTGGGAACTGTCACATGCTTGGAGAGAGATGCTATAGGGAGAATTTTTCTATGTAAAAACATGGCAACAGTCATTTGAACTTTTCAAATTATAGTGCTATAAAATTTATAATTGTGGATTTTTAACTATTTCATAATATGTGTTCAATGGAATAAAAACCAAATGTGAGTTGTAAAAGCAGAAAACAATGTGATTCGTGTCTGATTTTTAGGCATTAAATAAAATTACTGTGTAAGAAGTAAATATGATTGTGTGAATGACTTCTGACTTCAGAAACTTTGCTGAGATTTTTTCCCCTAGAATTCTGATGCAGAGGGAAAATTTTTTTGAAAGCAAAAGAACCTTCTGCTTGCTCCAGGTACGCTGTGGAATTGTGTGTTCTCTTTCATCCATCCTTCTTCCCTGGATAGCTAACCCAGTTGAACATCATTTTTGAGTCCTCAAGCTAAAACTCTTGATAGAAGAATGAACAAGCCTCTGAATTGAAAAGAAGGAGGAGAGCAGGTAAGATTGCTTGGGAGAAAGTAAGCTATACTTTTCATGACTCTCACACTTCTCTCTGAAACACTGGGCCATCTTTTTTAACATCCACGTTCTTCACGTTACATATTCTTATTTGCCATCATTTTCAGTATTGACTATCATAGTCACTGAAGGATTGGACCTGCAGATCCTCACAAAGGGTAGTAGCAAGGTTTTGCATGAGCAATCTACAACACATTACAAATGGGAAAAAAAAGATATATGTGTGTGTGTGTGTGTGTGTGTGTGTGTGTGTGTGTGTGTGTGTGTTATATATATATAGGTGAGAGTAAATATAGAAAATATCATTAGAGATATGTATGCCTCAAGAATGAAGGATAAGCAATGGACAGCCTACATGTTCTATTGGTATCTACATAATGTCATAAGACTATAAGATGCTAGGCAGGCCCCTTGTGGAGGATTTATAAAAAAACTTGGACAAGAGTTATGTAGGATGGCAAGGAATGGATGGTTTGTGATCTCCAACATGTGAGTACCCTACATCAAGGAGTTCACAGATACATCAAAATACATAACTATTGGAGCCAGTGAGTGAGGTTTCTGTAGAGCCACAATGCATTGAAGGGGTAGGCCTCACTTTTCCCACTACTGGAAACTACTACAGTGCCTGGCCATGCTTGTGGCTATTCCTGTGCCTATGTTCATAATTATTCAAGGTCCTTGAACACAATTCTATAATGATTTGAAACAGGATGGGTTTTTGCTCATTGCTACTTAGGTATTACATTTTAATTCTCCTTTTCACCTACTACCCATCTCCCCTATAAAATATAGCACCAACCTCCCCTTACCCGTGGGCTCCTGGAAAGTGACATTTTGGATCCTCTGTGGGTCAGTCACTGGTGGGCTGGCAAATGTGCAATTATGGACTCTCCAGAGAAAAAAGGCACACACAGCACATTTTTAAGCTTAGTCCTTATTATTAACATTTTCTCCATTACTTTCTTAAATATGGACAGTCAACAAAACAATAAGTGGAACCCTGACTCACAGTGTTGCCTGAACATTTCCCCGGCGGGTCTGGCATTCACTCTCACCCATATACACACTCTCATGCATCTTCAGACCAAAGATGCAAATCCAATAAATGATTTCAAGTCAAACTGAATCGAAGCTTTTTCAGCTCTATTTTATTATGTGGTTCATTCTGTGAAATTGCATTGACATAGCTCCATGATTTGGAACTGCTTTTGTCCAATTAGAATTCACTATATAGTAACGGCATTTTAAAATTATAAAGAAATTCTTCTTTGGCCTTGACTCTCTTGACACTGCCAGTCAAAACTCTGTGTCCCTATAGGCATTTCTTATGAGCATTCCAGATTCCGAATCATTTATAATGAGTAAATCAAACAATCCTCTAACATGTTAATAGCCTTAATTTCCTTCTTATCCTCAAGGTCTAAAGATTTGATTGCTATGTTGAGAATATAAAAATGAATATTATAAATTGGAAGCTGTCAGTTATGTTCAGAGGGGAAAAAGGTTGACTGATATAAGAAACTATGGATGGCACATTAAATGGAAGACTTTGGGACATTGTTCATGGTAAGAATCACTTAATATTTGGTATCCATGTCACAGTTAAGAGAACAGACAGATTTTAATGATAGGGCTACAATATAGAATATGATACATATTTTCTCAGCTACTTAGGGGAGCCATTCCATTGATGGAAGCAATAAAACTTAAATGGGCCAGTCAAAAAATGCTCATGGTAGATAGCCAAAGGGTCATCACAAACAGAAAGGGATACAGCCATGAGTCATAAATAGGCTCATAGCAGTTTTGATCACAGGACTCCCCTCAACACACACACACACACACACACACACACACACACACACACACACTTCACTAACTGTAACTGATTGTTTTGCCGTGGGCTTTGAGTTTCCTGCAAAGTGGGCTCGAGACTATCACCTGACTTGAGATTCACAGTTTTGAGGCATACGTTGTCATCTCTCTTCAAAAAGAAAGTTGTTCAAGGTAAGGGAATGGGAAATATGCTTCTGCTAGGTTTAGATTATGAATACAAACTGGACTTTTAATTCCTGGATTCCTTTTATTCTGAGTC